AACCCTTAGGGGGTTTGAAAAAAAAAAAGAAAATTAAAAAAAAAAAAAAAAAAAAAAAAAAAAGCATCATGAAAACTAAGAAACACAACAGAAAGGTCAGGAATAAGGTGGTGGGAACATTTTGAATCAGAGTTATGTAGGTCATCATCACAATTAATCATCCCACGTCTAACAGAGCGAGAAAGGAAAGCGATGATCACAGAATGTTGACAGAACTACTGCTCGTTCTGCATGTATGGCATAAATCTGGCTGTTATGAACGAGTAGAAGAAGAAAGCCTTCGTTCAAACGGATCCATGAGAAGTTGTGTTTTTCTGCTTGTCACAAGTAGGTGGCATAACAAACTAACTGATGCGGAGAAGGTGAAATCATGAGACGAAAACAAAACTGAACTTTTTAGACTACATGAAAAAATCTACGTTTGGGAAAACCAACACTGCACATGTTTGATGATACACATGAACCTAGAGCTGCAAAAGGAAGGTTTGGGTCAAACCTTGTTTATGTGTTAGAAGGGCCTAGTCAAAGACCTGAATCCAACTCAAAATCTGGTGCACTATTTGGAAACTGAAGCTTACAGCTATGCTCTCCATCCATCAGGCTGCGCTTTAGATATTTTGCGAAGAAAAACAGTCAAAACTTTTCAGACCCAAGATATGTAAAGCTGATAGAGAGCACTCTGCTAAATCCAGAGAATCCCATTTGTATCTGCAAAGTCACACAGCGACAAGCTGAGCCGAGTTAATTTTCCAAGTTATGGTCTGAGGACAGCGTTGAACTTAAGAGAATTTGTTGATTTTCTCAGAAGCTGTGAAGCTGCTGTGATTCACACCAAACCACTGGAAATCCAAAATCACTGTAAGAAAATGCGAACAGCAGCTACAAAGATGCGAGTCAGAGGGGATTAGAAGAAACAGAAGTGAAATTACACATAGATGGACTCGATTTACTAAGTGACTTCAACTGGTTGAACTGGTTCTTATCAGAGTAAAAGGCAATAACTACAAATGCACGCCATATTTTTCAAATGTGCATTTGCAAACAAATTGAAAACCACGCATCATTCTCCACTTGCACCACTTTGTGCTTATCTATTGCATAAAATCCTTATAAAATATGCTAACATTTTGTTTTGGTTGTAGAGTGATAAAATGTGGAAAGCTTTAGGTGTTATCTATTGTGAAAGACAGCACACAGCGTGCATGTTTGAAAATATGGAAATATTCTTTCATACATTATTATAAAGCTTCATTTTTCATTTTCACTGTAGCCCCTAAAGCTCAGACATTAATGGTGCCTGAACGCAGGCTGGAAATAATCTGACAGCAGGCGCTGTTGTCGAAGCAATAATCTACATAGTTATGAGGAAAGCCATGAATATTTCTTGATGTTATTTAAGTTGTTTCTGTTATTTCCGGAGTTTAGGGGATTGTAGCATGTAGAGAGGCGAATCAAGCCCACTTCTAAAGCACTAACCTTTTCAACAACAACAACAAAACAATTTGTTTGAAAAAAAAAAAAAAAAAAGACCCCAATCCGATTTGATGATTTCAAAGCAAGAGGGTCACAAGTTTTGTTTTGAACATTTTTCACGGATAAATCACCTTTGCAGAAGCCGTACGTCACATTAGATATTTCAATATTCTATTGCTCTCGGGGGACCGCAGTTAGTCTGGAGGCAGCAGCTTTGTACGCTTATGCCTTGGGCCGGCTGTACCTTCCTATGGCTTAAACCTTTAACAGTTCCCTTGATCACGTAGCCCTTACTTTCATCCATGCTGCAGTGAAACCCACTGACAGAGAAATGCACTGCTAAACAACAACCCCCTTCACATATATAGTAACTGAGTAAACAACTCAAGTTCCCTGTTTTTCCTGAGTCAACAGCGATGATGAATCCACGGTTTATACTGTAGCAGTGGAAGACCAGCTGGCCGGGCGCTGCAGCCTTGTTTCTGTGGGGTTCTGCACGTAGATGGAGCTGACTCACCACATAAATGTCTGCGCAGGACCACTCGGTCTATTTTCTGTCTGCTTACGATTTCAAATCATTTAATGTGCCTGTAGATAATAAACACTAATGATCTGCATCACAGAGCTGCAGCATGAAACAAGCTAAGGTGCTGTTTTCCCTCATCTTCCTCCTTCTTCCACCATAAATAGAGGCCAGGTGTCTAAAGACATATAGAACAAGTTGTATATGATGTGACACCTACAACTTCTTCTCATATGAACAAAAAATTAAAACCACAGGACAATTAATTAAAGTTTTCTATTAACCTCTAACAGTTAATGGCAGACTACCACCCGTTGTTTTATGAGCAAAGTAGCCTAGTTCCACGTATAATTATTCGGGTTTATTTAACCCTATTTAAATAAAAGGGCGTGCTCCTCATCAAGCTGCCTGGAAACTCTGCAGCACACCTCACTGAACAAAACAACAAAGAAATGTCAGCGCATGTCACCCGATGCAGACGCCCCTGACATATCCTGCAGCCACACTGAATGCTCTGCTGCTGCTGCAGCTGGACCGGCCCTCCCCACACCAAGACAAGAGAACCAGGTGAGCACCAAATACAAACCATTTTGGGGATAACGACATGCAAACACAGCAACTTAAGTCAAGACACAAACAGCAGCCACTGAATTGTAAGTGTTTCCTCTCACCTTGGTGAGTTATCAGAACCAGCAGGGATCCATAACGTAAAATAACAGATGTTATGTGAGCCGTGTCATTGATTTTTATTTATTTATTTATTTATTTATTTATTTATTTATTTATTTATTTATTTATTTATTTATTTATTTTTACAGGTTTAGATGTCAGAATGAGAGAAAATAATTGAGACATTGAATGTGATGTAAGCAAACTTTTAAAAAAAAAAAGTTAATTGAAAAATAAAATAAAAGTTTCTTCAAAGGTTCAGCAAGTGATTAGAATAATCACAAAAACAAATGTAATTTACAATCATCTTGAAGACTGCAATCTTCAAGATGATCAGAGCAATAACCGTGCGTTATGACGCTTTTTTAATATCATTATGTTTAATACGTCAATCAGAGTTACCGTAAATCCTTGTTAGTACTCAGTCTGAGTCATCAGCCCCATGCAAACTCCTCCTCGGCTTTCAGTGTTTAGTTTGTAACCGTAACTGACATGTTCATGCATCCTGCACACGGTAATGTCCGCTGTAAGATTCACTGCTGTGTTTGTTATAGTGCAATTATAATCTTAAGGTTTTAGGGATACATATATTGACTCAAACTCATCCGCAGCCTCTTATTACCCACCGTGGTCATGTCAGTAAGTAATAGGCCTTAATAGCACTAAAGCAACGTCAGGCTGTCGATACATCAAAACCCTTCTGTGAGTCACACATTAACCATTTCAGCGCCGACCTAAATAAAACCTACAACACGAGGCTGGTCTGTATTAGAAAGAGCTCTGCGTTTAAAACATCAGGTCATGTTGCCCACCTTTGTCCGTCGTCCACGCCGTTTCCGACACGGCGCCGTAGCTCCGGAGCGCTCGCTCGGTGTCCGAGAAAGACTTCTTCATCTCCATGCTGGAGTGGAGGGAGAGGAAGGGGGGAAGGGAAAAAAAAATCCGAGAAGCGAGTGAGAACCTAAAGGGACAGTCTGCAGCTTCTCCTCCCTGCTTGGGTTCTTCCAGATGAGTCAGTGTTCACCCGGCGACAAGCGACCAGCGACCCGAGAAGCTGAGAGCATCTTCAGCCGAGTCTTCAAGTCCTGCTGGATAGAGGGGGATGCTGGGAGCATGCGCAGTGCGGGCGGAGATGTGGGGCGCTAGAAGACGCGAACGAACTCCAGGATGTTGATGGTGATGATGATAAAAATAAAACAGCAGGCTTAGACACACACACACGCACACACACGCACAGTGAAACACATTCGGATTATTAGAAATATGCATTGCAGAAGGCAGGGTCTGACCTGTTGTCTTTTGAGAAAAAAAAATACATATATATGTCCAACTTTATCCCCATAGGCCTCAAAATATGATGATATGATCCAATCAGTTTTGGATACTACCTTTTCCATAGTAACTTGTGCTGCTGCAATATGTATTAATAATTTCTTGTTGCTTTGTGTTCAAATACTTAGGACGATCATTTCCTGAATGACTTAGTCTGGGCTAATGTATTATTTATAAATAATTTCATTCAGACAGCAATCCATTTAGGTATAAACTTTGCAAGTGTAATATATCTCTAAAGAAACCCAATGAAAACACACAGAGTCAAAATAAAGTTTATTTTTACTCCATAGTTTTATCTTTCATAATTAGTGCAACAAATGCAAGACGACATCAATTAATTTTAAATATTCAAGAGCACCAATCTGTTCTCACACCCAAAAAAAGTCAGAAATCTTTGACTGTGCAAACCAAAATATTAAATTAGCTGCTAAAATGACCCAGCAGAAACAAAGGGAATATTCAATTACATTTCACATCCAGTGTAGCAACATCTCCATACAAATATTTACTTAAGAAAATACTGGGATTAAAAAAAAAATCACATCGTATTACATAAATAATAAATCCGTAATTCCAAGGCAAGGCAAGGCAAGGCAAGGCAATTTTATTTATATAGCACCTTTCAGTCAAAGACAATTCAAAGTGCTTTTACAGAGAAACAATACCAATCAGACAAGAAACACACACACAAAAAAATTTAATAATAGGCAACATCAAATAGAAATGTTTTTAACCTTGTTTTAAATAAACTCAAAGTTGGGGCAGATTTGCAGTGAGCCGGAAGCTTATTCCAGAGGGCTGGAGCATAAAAACTAAAAGCTGCTTCCCCGTATTTTGTTCTAACTCTCGGAATGACTAATAGGTTTGACTCAGTTGATCTTAAAGGTCAAGGTCAAGGACGCAGCTTAAACATAAATAGGACAAACAGCTGTCGTGTTGAATTTATTCTCAAACGATCTCCAAGTTATGCTCTTATATTGATGTGAAATTCATTTAACTCAGTTGTGTGAGCTACATGAAATGTTACAAGCGGACAGGACTGCATACTCGCATCTTCTCTGCACTATAAAAGACAGAAGTGAATATTTTTCTGTCATCCACACAGAAATAGGAACTGAAATCAAGAATGTCACAACAGAAAATAAAATTAGGATCTAAAGTCATGTCTCTTTAAAACAAAGGTAGGAACACATGCTAACATTTGATGGTTGACAACTGCATTGAAGACATAAAATGGCACAAAACAGAAGAAAAGAATAATGTATTCATGTGAAGAGGAAGATGAAGAAGAAGAAGAGGTGGGCAGTATATAGCTATTCAAGTAAACTTAAATCAGATGAAAAATAATCTCAGATTGCCTCAGTAGAAAGTTATTAGTTGTAGTGTTTCAATCTTTTCATGAGCTGGTAAGAGTAGGAAGCAATAAAAAACAGACTTCCCTTGTTTAAACAGCACCTGCTGAAGCATAAAGCATGACAAATAAAAATAAAGTAGGCAGCCTTTCTCTGCTCGTCGTTGACATTCACCCTCTTGACACGATTCAAGACATGGCAAGCTTTGACATAATAAATCTGATTCACTGGTTAATCTCAACAATCATTCCTTTTTAAAATACATAATTTAAACCTTTTGTGTGCGGAAGGTTCCCGTATAAGCTTCACATGCAGATGAATCAACAGAACAGGAGCAAATTAACTCAATGTCTGCATTGGACAACTCAGAGGAGAGCCCATTCGGCTCCTTCAGACTAGCAGCAATTAGCAAACACCTGCTGAAACTGCGTGGCTGCTGAGCTCATCATGCAAGTGATTTCTCGGTGAAATGCTGCTGAGAATGGTTGTAAACAGCATAATGGAGAAGAGTTGTTGTAAGAATATGCTGAGGGTGGAGTGTCGGAAAGAGTAGGAGTTTCTTAAAGAGGCAGAGATGCAATTTAATTTCAAGGCATTAAATTGCGAAGTCAAATTTCTTTTCAGCAATGTTTGATATATAAAGCATTTTTATAAAAACTGAAGGTAACATAGTTACTTGACTGTAAAATGACAGCATGTTGTTGTAACAACAATTCTGCCACTTAAAGACTTCACTGGAGAAAAACCATGAGGAAGTTTGTGCGGATGCTTCGGAAAACGTTAGTCAAGAAAAACGGCAAAATAAATACAAATTGTACGGAAAAGCCAACAAGGAGCAAATGCTGACAGCTGCTTGTCAAACCTGTTCAGATTTACCATCTGCTTTTCTTGAGATGAACCAGAGCAGAAATGTGGAGTATGGTCAGAGAATGAAACCACAACAAATCTCAGAGAAATATGAAATAAAAAAAAGCAAGCCCCTACCACTGTGCATATTAAACTGTGTTTCCCAGAGACGTTAATGAACACCCACTGAAATTATGCCTCAGCTGCAAGCCTCATTGCCAGACATGTTAGCAGAATGTGGTAAAAACCACCAGAGCCCAATCTTTTCTTGGAATGTGCTGCTGCTCCGAAATACAGGAACTATAAATTACTGGAAGGGAAATTAAATTGATGCGACTGACGTTCATTTTGAAATTTCCCAACATTTCTTTTTTGAATTATAAACATAAAAACAGATTTCCTAACTGGCCCTGTTGAGGTACCGCAGTGCGAACTGAAACCCAAACAGATCACAGAAGCAAAGCTGATAAACACTGGCTGTAATCTCCTTTGTTTTAAGATGTTAAAAGTTTCGATCAAATCAATTAGATCCCACTCTGCACTGTGGAAATGATGCCTTGTTGTACATCGGTTTTTGTCATTAAAAACAGAAGACATGCTCATGAATATTTTCAGTATTTTTCAGGCTACTTAAGCTAAGCACTGGGCGGAAAAACAACACAACAACCGGTGCTAACCTGATTGAATAAAATACTAAAACATGCTGACAGGTCAGCGTTATGCACAGTAAGATTAGATCATATCTGCTGTATTTCTGTGACTGTGCTTTATGAACACATTCCACAAGCTGGTGGAGGTTTGCAGCATCAGGGAGACCTCGGTAGACGGGTCTGGCAGTGTTTCTGGAAACAATGAGACAGTAAAAGCAGGACTGACATGCTGTCCTCCTGGACCTGACGAATCCAGTTTGTGTCCTCCATTATCCCCTCCCGACAAAACAGCCTCCCTCCAGGCCTCCTATTATGCAGGCCTGGACGCTGCCGTTTCCTCCACCTTTTGCTTCGGGTCCGTTTCGTCGTCGGCAGGTTTGGCTGCCTCGTCTTTTGGGGGGAACATCCAGGCCAGGGCAGCTCCGGCTGTGCCGTCCCCAGTCTGACGCGAGAAGCAGAGGAAGGTGGCCCAGACGAAGGCGCAGCAGCCGGTGAAGGTGGTCCGCACGTACAGAGGCACCAGGGCGAAGTTCAGAAACTTGGAGAAACAGACACGAAAGGCGCAGTTGCTGTGATTAAAACTCAGTAGACGAGAAGTCACAGAAAGGACCAGCTGTAAGTAGCATACAGCAGAGCTGCTGGTTTCAGCAAACAAGGCTTTAGTCTGCATACACATACACATTTCCATTTTGCTCATTTATTCCGACTTTATTTTAGCGTCAACATCCAGTAGATAGCTTGTAAATTCTAAGTAATGAGTGTGAATCTAACATTTTTAATAGCGCTACATATTTTATATTTCTAAAGTCCTCGCACTTGTTTTTTTTTTTTTTTTTTTTTTGAAATACTGTTTTACCGTAACTGTTACAAAATACATGAGAACAAGTTTATTCTGAGGCTCTTTGTCCGCCTGGTGTTAATCTGCTTCTTGGGTAATCCGCTAAGAATCAGGAAGCGTTAAATACATGTGTGAAAGTGTCCAGCACACTTTCGGGTCCAATCACTCAGGCCACATTGATCCAGAGGACCCGTCTCCTGACCTGTTGTACTATCTCTACTACTTTAGTGCGCAACACTAAAGGGATAGCATAAGAACCTGACATGAAGAACCAAAATATGAAATAAGTGATTTAGGATTCATGAAAACCTTCTGGCTATGATGAGAATATGAATATTTCTCAGGAGCTGCGGCGACATGCTGTGTGTTCCTGTTGTCGTCAGCTGGTTTCTATTATGGATTTTTATCAATATTTGGACACCATTTCTGGACAATAAGCGGACTTTTGAGGCTAACACTGATGTCATCTGTGAGAATGAAAAACCAGAGAATGAGAATGAATGGTTTTAATGCTGGAGTCAATAAAATAAATGTTTTTATTTTTCAACAGTTGATAGCTGAATTACAGATTAAATCGCAATGGTCTTCTCAGCGTCACTGTGTGCATCACTGAAATCTCTATTTATTAAGCTGTCATATCTAAAAGGCAGCGCATTACCTCTTTGCTTGCTAGTTATATGACTGGTCACTTGGATGAACTTTTAATTTTCGCACAACTGACAGATTTCACAAAGCAAAGGAAGAATGACGGGAAACTATGGAGATGAAAAAAAGGAGAATAGTGAGGAAAATTGAGTCTAATTACGACTCATATTGTTATTGCAGAAATAGTTTTGAAACATCATGTTTTCCTAATAGAGTGCAGTCTTAAAATCACTAAATACATCTGTATTCATATAAATATTTGCACACTTGCTTGATCCACTGCTAACTGCAGAGGTAGAAAGGTTACATGTATAAATAGAGCAGGTAACTTAGACTTAGCCAGATATGCAGACCAATGTTAGCCACCACCTCACATTCTTGGATCAACAACAATGCATGTAAATTACAAATTAAAGGGTAAATAGATTATTTTTCTTGATGGGTTTTGGAGTTCAGATTTTTTATTTTCCCTCCTCCCACCAATACAAGCAGTTGTGCAACAAGATGTTAATAATTACCTGCATGAACGGCCAAAACATCAGCCCGGTCTGAAAAAAAAAAAAAAAAAAAACGAGAAACAGAAATCAGACACCAGCTTACTTAGCAAACAAAGAAACAAAACTACTTTAATTCACCTGCGGAGATTCTTACAATCAAAAAATTGATTGCAAGTGTTTTAATGTTCTAACAAGCAAAAACAAACAGTTTCTCTGGTTCTTTTGGTTTACACTTTGAAATTCTATACTTTTCTGACAGACCCAATAAAAAAATCACCAGCAGAGGTACAATTATAGAAAACCCAGTGATGTTTGGTTACTCAATCCTGTGAATCGTGTGTTGAACAGGAACTCTCTGACATGTGGAGTGGCTGTGGAATGAACAGCCAACCTTGTGGCTGAACCGGTCTTTCACCTCAGCTCCAAACGTTTCACAGATGCATGTTCTGTTCATTCATACTGTGAAACCTCAGGAGCCCAAAATAATAAAGAATGCAGGCTTTACCATGAGTTGCTGTATTGTTTTTTAAAATAGTTTTACTTCACTGAAGGCCCACCTGTGGACATGCAGTGCAAGTTAGCTAAATCTATAAATGTCATAGTGTTCAGTATTTGTTTTAACACTTATCCCCCTGCAAATATACATTTAGAAAAGAAGAAAGAAAGAGGTGACCTCCTAACGGACACAAACAGTAGCAGAAATCAGCTTTTTTTCCCCCACAGGATAATAATATAAAATTTCACTCCTTATCTTTGGTGGAAATAATCTGCAGGAAACAGAGCAAGTTTATGTTCTTACTTTTATTTCCATGCTTTCGAGAGTCGACCCACCTTATAAGTGTTCAGGAATTTTTCCCTCCAGTCTTCCAAGATGTCTTCTTTGCCCTCCAAAAAACTGACACCTGGTTTGAGCAGAAGATACCGCACAAAAATGATTTACAGTGACCATGGAAGAGACCATTTTAAGCACTGCTAAAAAAAAAACAAAAAACAATAAGTCACAATAACAATAAGTCAACAAGTTTTTATTAATTTTTTTATTACAAAAAATGTATATATATAAAAAAAACACTTCAGAAACAAACTTTTGTTATTTAAATAGAAGAAGCAATATTCTCATAAACTTTTTTTTTTATTATTAACAACAGCAAATACATTGGTTTCCTGAAAAAAATGCTGATTTTTTTCGTCCTGGCTGGAATCACTAATAACTTAGATAACTTTTAATAAGTGGAATTAGTTGTCCAAAATAATACATATGGACACAAACAAGAACATGGAGGTGTAAAATTTCAGCTTCAGGATGTTGCCAGAAGGTGATGCAGCCCCAACTTAACAGAATCATCCCATGATGTTCCCTGGTAAGCGAATTGGATATTGTTCACTGGCATGCCATCTCTAGTCTCTCAAAGGATTTTATGATTACAGATGGTACAAAAACAAATCTTAGTCATTTAGTTCAGTGAGAATGGGTTTCATAAGGAAACAATATGATTTTTTTGAAGATCTTGGTGAAGACAAAACAAGTTGACATAATGGCGTCAAGGTCAGATACTTTCCCAGTTCTCTGTTTCAAGACTGATCTTCAATGCAAGCTTGTTGCAAGAGGAAAAGCAGCTGAGGGCTAGAGTGGCAGGGTGTAAGAGCAGATTCGTCAAAATAACCCAATAACCGTTTTAAGACCTCAGCCAATTGTTGGTTGTTAGCAAGGTGAGGGTGGCGGCTTGTAGTTGGTGATGATTTTCACACCAATCACTACTCTGAAGGTAGAGTCACCGGCAGAGAACTGGTTCATCAGCTTCCTAGAATAGCTCTAATCTCCTTTCAGTCTGTATTTAGCCTGATTTTAAAGCTGTTTCTGTTTCGTGGTGTCATTGTTATGTGCTAGGTGGGAGCTGTTTGGGTTAGTGATAAGGTTAAAAAAATTATTACTGCAATATATTTTGCTGTATTGACAGGTTTTGATAATTGTAGCGATACAACTTCAAATAGTAACTGTTTAATATGTACAAAAAAATACATTCAAATAACTCGTAAAACAATAACTAATGATACTTAACTCCCTCAATTCCCCCCTCTGCACTGCCGTTTTAGCAGTGTCTGTGTTATTGAATATTAAAGTCTGTCTTTGTAATTGTTGACTTTTTCAGTTTCCCAAACAATTATTGAAAGTATTTGTTGAACCATTAACTAGTAAAGGACACAGATGTTCTCAAATAAATGCAACAGTTTAAGCAAAACCCCCTCCATGTCCTCCCACTAACATATGAACCCAGCTGCAAGATTATTTCATTTTTTACTTTATTTCTAAATATCTTTGTAAGCACCAGCAACAGTGGGCATAAAGAAAGAATAAACTAATGCCAGAAATGGAAAGAAGCAAAACAAAACAAAGAGATCCCCAGATGTATAAAACGTATAATAAAAGGGATAATTATGGTTCTCCAATCTTCGGGAGTTATGAATGTGCCACAGATTAATTTCTAATTAATCTTAGTCAGCGCTGAGATAGTTTGACCTTATGGAATGGCTCTCCATATGACCTGGCCTCTGTAGGTCAAACTACACAGGACTATGAACCAGTGGGACACGTGAGGGGATCACGATGTCCTTCGTGTACGTTACAAATCGATATGTTTATGCGTTACCAGCACAGAGTGTTTTCAGTGTGGTGATGCGTTCACTGACCCGTGTAGAAGACGCTGGTGGCCAGGGGCGCTGCAGTCGTCTGGTCCAAGAACAGCTTCTTCATCACCATCCCGGCGGAGTTTCCCGGAAACCTGCGCTCCAGAAAACGCATCCAGAAGAAATTGAAGTTCCCGTGGAAACTGAAAGCCACCACAGCGACGTTGCGCGTCTGTCTCCAGTCCATTTGGTCCCTAGCGGAGAACCACTGGTGGACCAAGTCTCCCCCGGCGAACAGGCAGCCGTACAGTGTGACATTCGTGACCCACGGAAAGCGGCGGACGTGCCTCAGAAACGCCTGGAGCATAATTCAGTCTGCACCCACCCTGTTGCCCAACATGAAGGAGAGCAAAAGACGTTGTCGTCCCGGGCTGGGAGTTAGCTAAATCATGATGTTCCCTTTTTCTCAGGAGGATCGTTAAAATACACACGCAGCTGCACGCTTCCTTTTAGGTATCAACAAATTGCATTTATAAATAAAAAAAAAATTAAAAAATAGTGTTTGTCTCTGACAATGAAGGTTATAAATCTGTAAAAATCCACACAGTGTAGCGTACTTGCTTGTCAAACTCCTTCCAGCACAGAGAACGGGAGCGACAGTCCTCCACCGGCTGCGGTTGACTCCTTCTGCGTATTTTTCTTACGTAAAAAATACCTACGCAGAAAAATGAATGGGTGGAGTAGTACTAAGAGTACAGTAAGTCGGCTATGCTCGGTTGGGCTTAAAGTGCCATAATCCAGTAAATACTTCGGTAAATATACAGATGATAAATTGAAGTTGCAAAAAAGAAAACAATAAGATGGAAAAATACACTTCTATGGTGTTTATTATTATAAATAGAAGTAAAATACACCAAGAAATAAAATGTTTTTGTTTTTTTTAACAGAGGAAACTCTGGATCGGAGCGACTTAGGTTACACTGTGCTTGAAGCAGCTTCCGAAGAAAACAACTTATCAGAAGGCCATGTACTCAGGTTTAAACTCATAGATTTTTATTCCAATATGTCATAATTCCTACCATTACTTGAAGAAGATTTTGATGGACATGAACACATGCAATTTTGAAAAGAAACACATTCATAGAAAGTGTGACATGGTCAAGAGCGAAGGATAAACATAAAAGACAACTCTATTTTTGAAGGTACATTTCCACAGATAAAAAAAAACATTCAACAAACTGACCACTTCCTCTCCTAAAAGAACAATTTGTGCACTTTAGAACGGTACAGATATTTGTTTTGAGTCTGTTAAATACAGAAAGGTTTTAAATGGAGGCTGCAAAGTGGCACCGTTGGTAGCACAGTTGCCTTACAGCAAGAAGGTTCTGGGTTCAATTCCTGGCCCCGGTCTTTCTGCATGGAGTTTGCATGTTCTCCCTGTGCATGTGTGGGTTTTCTCTGGGTACTCCAGCTTCCTCCCACAGTCCAAAAACATGACTGTCAGGTTAGTTGGTTTCTCTAAATTGCCCCTAGGTGTGTGTGTATAAGTAACTCCCCTGCTGGCTTTCTGTAAAAGTGTTTAATAACTTTACTGTGTGGTACTGTTTGTGGTAATACTTTGGTTCTCTTCAGAAATGGCAGCAGAAAGAGTCAAACTCATACTGGGCTAATATAAACCAAAACTACCATTTCAACAAGTTAACCTCAAACAATGGACACGTCGGGAAGATAGTATGGAAAAACATGTACTCACATTTAAAAACAAAAACAAAAACAAAACATCAATATATAAACCTGTGAAACAATATAAACCCACCGACTAAACATGAACCATGAGAAGGTGGCACCAAGAAAGATCAGCTGAGTATTCATCATCAGCAGATACAGAAGAAAATCAGTAAGGGCGCTTGTTTTTAGGAACCAGTGTGAAAGGTGCCATTTATTACTCAGTGTAGGGCATTCATTAGAGCTGTGGTGAACCTGTCCCCCCACCAACAAGCTTCTTTACTTTGAAAGAAAATGAGTGTAAAGTGTCGCCTTCTTTTGGACTGCAGTGTGAAACTGGCCAACACTAAGGCAAAGTTAAACCGCAAACTGGTACAGTTATGAAATTATGCACAGCAATCCAGTGGACCTATGGATACAACTTGTTACCATATGAGCCTGGAGAGGTAATGTGCTGCACCTCGCAAAAGAAGCTTCCATTAATTTAGACAGACAGACCAACATAAAGTAGTGCATAACTATAATGTTGAAATGTGGAAGGAAAATGAAAATATCCCATTCTCCTTAACCGATAAAAACCTCAAAAGTGTGGCAAACATATGTATACAGGCTCTAATACCCAAATAAAATACAGAGCAAGCAAATATATTCACAAGTCACATAGTCATCGATACATTCCAGGGCTGGGCGATGAATAGATTTTATCGATCAATTTAAATTTGGGTTTTTGAAGATTTCATTTTTGGGCAAAATTAAATCTTCAACAATTTACTCCTTGGGTTTCTCCAGTCAAGAGTGATGTCAGCACCCCCAAGGCCGGCCATCTTGCTTGACAGGTTTTACAGCTTCTGTTTATGTGTACGAGGTAATACTAAAACTATAAGTTTTAGAGATAAGAAGATACCTCATCTTTTAACACATCAGCATCAGCTGGACTTTAAAACAATTGTGCAAACGACTGTCTATTCTGCAGAAAGAACTGCGTGGTAACTCTGTAGAAGTTTATATCTCATGAAAACTTTTTATTGCAAATTTAAGGCGCCCTTCTAGTAAAATTGTGACTTTATTCTTAATAAAAAATTGTGTCTCCAGGTCCTAATGCACCCTCGTACAACTCACAAAAAGAATGACAAAAGCAAGAAAAAAAAAAGCAATATCAGATCTGGAATGAAAAAAATCTGAGATTTAATTTTGAACTCATATCGCCTAGCCCTAATTCCTCGTATGAGTAAATTTAAATCGGTTTAAGCCGAACAGAAATGATCCATGTGGTTTGAATACATTTGCAAAGCGCTGGTCAGGGATTGGACCCTTGATAAAATACTCTGATTGAAAAGGGGTCACAGTGTTTCCATTGGAAAAATAGAAAAATAGTCAAATAACATTTGAAGGTTCGGCTGTGACTTGTTATGACTGGACAAGCCTCTCCCAGCTGCCGCTCTCCATTCGGTGGTAGAGGTGCGGCTGACCTCCCGGGAACAGGCTGTTAGAGTTTGGATGTGACAAAAGGAACTGGATGGTGGACTTAATGTGCTGGACAAAGTGCGGCGGTTCGGCAAACGGAGACGTGGACAGGTACTACAAACACAGACAAAAAAAAAAACAACAACATTTATATCACTCGCTATACTGTTTATTCTCTCGGTGTTGTTCTGGTCACCTTCAGAGGTTCAATACTTCCCAGGTATTACGTTACCTTTAAAATAGTGGCATCACTTTGTGACAACCAGAAGGCAATTTCCAAATCAGGGCTCCACTGGCAAGGTCCAACTCTAACAAGTCCATGTCTTGAGTCATAAATGTCAGTCATCTGTAAGGAAGAGATATTTTATTTAAAAAAAACAACGTGTAGTCTAGCTTCAGTCCCTCATAAATGAGACTATGCATGCAAATTTACATCGTAAGGACAATAACATTTACAGCTAGAGATAGTATTAAACAACAAACTGAAAGAAATAATAATAAAAGTGTTAGGTATTTTAAACTATTTATGCCCCGAGATCTTTGGTTTTGATTTTTTTTTTTGTTTTTTGTTTTTGCCTGTTTTACAAACTAACAACTGAAAGTTGTAGAACATTCTGCCCACCTGAGCCCATACACTGTAAACACATATTTGAATGGTGATATAAATAGAAATACAAGTCTTTTGGGGTATATCTCTACATGCCATAGACATTTAGACACATTGACTTTTTGCTCATTCTTCTTTGCACAACAGCTCAAGCTCAGTCAAACTGGATTGAAATTGCCTTTGAATGTTCAAATTTTCAAGTGTTGCCATACATATATATTCTCAACTTGACTTTAGAGCTGAGGCTTTGACTGGACCAGACAGGACTTGGTGTTTTTACCTCTCCTCCAGTGAAGGTCCGTGCCGACCGCAGCATCTCTGCAGGTCCTTTATGAGGGAATGAGGCAGGGAACACTTCCCCTGTTTTAACATTTACACCTACACAGACTCAAAGTTATTGCCAATAACATATGACATATATGCATATTACTTGTTTCTTTGCCATACATCTGCCACTCACCTATTCCATATACTATCGGTTTATGAATTCCCTTGTCAACTACGTTGTTCATCTCTACAACAGAAAGAATTGTGATTGAGAAATCAGAATGTACAACTACAGTATTTACAAATGACGTAAAACGTATAAAAACCTGTGATGCAACATGTCTCCAGGTGAATGTGATCCTTCTGTTTCTGGAACGCTGCTATATAGTAAAAGCAGCACATGTCAAGTTGGCGAGTTTGAGATTATGTCCACGAGCCACACACCATGGAGAACTTTACGAACCTACCCAGGATGTTAAGGCTGAGTTTATGAGATCTTTTGTCATCGTCATCAAACCCTCCAACCAGATGCAGCTCAAATCTAGACGGTAGCAGAAAGTGAAGCAAATGTTAATGGGACATTTATGGACTTTGAACTTGTGCTTGTGCAAGTATGACGTGCCTGCCCTCATTACAGCCGTCACTCAGTGATGTGACGGCTTTCATAATGAGCTGGACCTCAGTCCTGGTGCTGGAGCCATCGAGGTGAGACAGACAGACGGCTCCGCTACCTGCCAAGTAATGAAACAAGTTAGAATCCTTTAGTTGGAGGCAGATGTAACGCACAGTAGGAATCTGGTAGAAGTAAACAGTACCGGTGTGTCGCAGCACGACCAAGTGGCAGGTGGTAGCATCATCTGATCCAAGGATCGAAACGCAGTCTGTGAAAGATTTGACCGGAACGGATGAAACTGACCAGAGTTCAAATTGTAAAGTCACACCAACAAAAGCACTGATCTTACACCGCAAGGAGAGAGAGAGAAAAAAGAGATAGATGTAAAATCCATCAAATGATGGAGAAATTATGAACAACTGCCCATAACCCTTAAACTTTTTTTTTTACACTTTAAAACCACAAACTTTAATGTATTTTATTTGGATGTTGTATGTTAGACCAGCACAAAGTAACTCATAATGATGGAGTGGCTGGCACATAATGAATAGTTATCAAAATTTTTTATTAAAAAGTGAGGACTCTTTTCAGATCTGATAAGTAGGCCATGCATTTTTTTATTCAGCCCCTTATACTCGTGAGCCCCTAAATAAAACCCTGTGTAACCAGAACTAACATAGTAAATAGAATCCAGCTGCTTGTAATATAATCTCAGCATAAATGTAATTAGTCTGTGTGACAGAGTTTCTTTTCTCAATAATACATGGATGTCAATTCAGAATTCAGTAGAGTATTCAGGTTCTTAAATGTGTGACTGTGAATTGATGTGATTTGTCATCGTGAACAGCAGGTGTACTCACTGTCTGCTGGAGTTGTCGCTGCAAACTCTCTCTGCTGAACATAAAGGAGGTGCTTCGGATCTACATCAACACGTGGCTTGGAGCGAAATGCTTTTGCGTTTTCCTGCAAAACAAAATCAACCTGTTGTTTTTTCCCCTGGATTTATCTCTAAAATAAATACAAACCAAAAGTCAGTCTAGTGACAGCAAGCATTGATTTATTTCTATGACTCAGAAATACATTTTGTAAGAGAAAAAAAGTCTTTCTTGAAATGCTACGTGTGTCCTACTCATAAGTTCTTATTCATATTTCATCATGGCCATTTCTCAAAATGTTATAATTACTTTGCATTAACAATTTTACAACTCTAAAAATTTAGGTACAACTTATTTTTATGTTATTTATTTAGACTGCAGTTTCCGGAGTTCTCGAATCTCTCTTAACCATTTTTAAAAGTATATATGCAGTCAGTATCTTTTTATTTCAGAAATTGTTTGAATCTGCAAAATAAACAGACAAATGTAACATGGAAGGCAACGCACATAAAATGTGTAAATGTACGTTTATGTCATTATTACACATTTATATCCCTTTAATGTTTTTTTTTCCTTCTTCCATTTTTTAACCTACAGAATTATACTTACCTTTCCTACCTTCCCATACTGATTGAAATCTGCAGCACTTTCTTGTGGTTCAGAGAAGTAATCATTATAATCACTTTATAACAGACACAGTAGGTCCATATAAAAAAAAAATGGCCGGGTGCAATTAATGTTCTATTTTATGTTTAGACGTGAAACAGATGCCGTGATAACAACTGTCTTAAGGTGAAAGAACAGTTGGAATGTGGGAAATAAATGCCATAAGTAACATTATCACATACAATCAGACATTTGCAGGAAACAAACCTGTAAATGTGGATATTTGTCGAATAATTCCGCTGTTGATCTGAAGCAATCTAATTCTCTGTTCTGAAAAAACAAAGGCATGTCCTTCAACTTGATCCGTTTCCAAACCAGTTCGGTATTATGCTACAAGAACACCAGTAACTTCGTTATCAGTATTGGTCCACTATTAAACAGAACTTCCTGAAATGACCGCAGTCTTTTTCGTTTTTTAAATAGTGTTTCTTTTAAAACGAAGTCTGGCATAGTCGCCACCTACTGACCCCTTATGGTTTTGCTACGTGTCTCTTTTCTTGTTCAAATATGTAAAACCAAATTATGTTTTATGAAAAATATCTTCAGACGTAGGAACAATGATTTTTTTATGCTGCACAGTGCACATTTGCTTTTTTTTAGCCGCAGCAGAGGCATACATACCGAGAGTCTTAAAGTGACAACATTTTCACGGAGTGAGATTCTCCATTATTACTTAGGCAAATTGCGTACGTCCTGATGTTTGTTTTGAAAAAGCGCTACGTAGTTTTACTAGCCGTTAGGCCGAAGTCGATGTCTTTCGCTGGTAGGAAACAAACAAGGCGATTGGCGACGTGTTTAGAGTTGCTCAATAATTCCCGTTTTATCTTCTTATTTCAGCTGTTTCAAATAAAGTAATTTTTTTCTGTTGTGAGCTCGCTCATTTTTACGCTTCTGTCGTCGAGCTTATTGCGGCTGACCATCGTTCTAGCTAGCGACAAATCTACCGAAGGGGCTAACAGTTTTATCAAAATGAGAGGAGGCTCCTCGTACGGAGACAGGGACAGAGACAGAGATCGTGGACGAGACAGGTACGTGTTTTAGATTTAGCAACAACAACAAAAACAACCTTAGTGTTAATTAATGTTTGAGCTTCAATTATAGTTTGGCTTTGCATGGATGAAAGGAACATACAAACAAAAGCTAAGCTAACGCTTAAAGATCCATTCCAGTTAATATTTACATCGTCAAAAAAGCATCCGATCAGTAGACGAATGAAGTTAGGTAAAGTGTAAATTGAAAATAATATTACCACAAAGGACTGAAAAAGCTAGCAGTGTGTTTGTGGAACCCTATACAATTGCTTCAAAGTTGGCCCAACTGTGGTGTGGGTGGTGTTTTCCTTCTCACTCAAAAAAGTCTTCCAGCTATTGTAAAAGTTTTTATTGGACGATTGATCTTGTGCAAATAACTACCCTAGATTTTGGGCTGCAGTCAAATAATGGTATTTAATTTAGGTAATTAACATTTTTGAAGGAGTTCTATTTAGATACTGCAGTGTGGAACTGACATTAATAACTCAGCTGACTTGCTACTTTGTCTAACTAAAAATAGTTTTATTTTAAAAGGTATATCAATAACAGATATAATAAGAGATAACTATTGCCTGTTTTTTACTAGGGAGGCACCATTCCACTTTTTTCACTTCCAGATTCAGATATTTGAGGTTTAGCATCGGCTGACACCGATCCCATACAGTAAAGCAGCTGAAGTGACTTAAAACATTTTTCTTTTTTTAAAACATAGACATAAATGTACTGAATTACAAATTTATTTGATAACTCCACACCACTACAGCACATGTAAATATACCAATAACTTCACAAGCTTCACAAACAAGATTCTTGGATGTTGAGTAAAAAAAAAAAAAAAAAAAGCCTCACTGTTGAGTTACTGATTAACGGCAGTATTTACTCTAACGCAGAAATGTTCAGTAATGGGTATGGTTAGATAGACTTAATTTGTGTAATAAGTGGTTTGCATCCTAATTTCTTTTGCTTCACATCTCTCAGACCACGGTTCGGAGGGGGCATGGGCGGCCGCAGCGGACCCCCACCCATGAAGTTTGGAAACCCTGGTGAGCGTCTCCGCAAAAAGAGGTGGAACTTAGATGAGTTGCCAAAATTTGAAAAGAACTTCTACACTGAACACGTTGAAGTCCAACGCATTGGTCAGGTAGGTTTTTTTTTCTTTCTTCTTCTTTTCTTTGTACTTGCTCACGCCATCATTAAAAATGATAATAAATAATAAGCTGTTTGGCTATGTGTAATTTTATTTTATTTTTTTTGGAATGCTTATTTTTCTCTTTTGCTTTCATATCTAGTATGATGTGGAGGAGTTTCGCAGAAAGAAGGAGATCACCATCAGAGGCTCTGGCTGTCCAAAACCCGTAACTGCTTTTCACCATGCTCAGTTTCCTCGTGAGTTAGCTCCTTTTTATCCCATCTTTCATAAAGTTTTTTGCTGTAAAAAAATAAATAAATAAATAAATAAAATTTTCTAATTCCATAAAATCTTATTTGCCTCAGTTCAGCACATTTACTCATTCTTTCACATTCGTAAATATCTTCTTTTATTTAAATATCACGTACAAATTAGCAAAAACATTTTTTTTTTTAAATAAAAACCCAGACAGATCGCTTTCAGTAACATTTAAATGGCTGAGTTAAACTGTCTCCCGCCTTTGCCTCGCAGAGTATGTGATGGACGTCCTGGTGCAGCAGAACTTCAAGGAGCCCACAGCCATCCAAGCCCAGGGTTTCCCTGTGGCCTTGAGCGGCAAGGACATGGTGGGAATAGCGCAGACTGGCTCTGGGAAGACGCTGGCTGTAAGGCTTTCTCTCCATGATCTTGTCAATAATGTATTCAAATCATTTTTAATATTTAATTTGATCTCTAATAGGTGGAAATATGTGAGGGATTCTGAAATATGAACAAAAGAGACAGATTGAAGTAAAAAAAAAAAAAAAAACGTAATTCATGGTGTATAATAAGTATCATAAGTAATCTAGAGTTTATAAGCAAAATTCAAGTAATTTAAGTTAATATTTAATGTTTTGAATCTAAATTTTTGGCAAAAATTGTGAAAGCAAGTTCTAACAGTTTATTGCCTCTTCCCCCCCCCTTGCAGTACCTCCTTCCTGCTATCGTACATATCAACCACCAGCCCTACCTGGAGAGAGGGGATGGCCCCATAGTGAGTGCAAGAAAGACATTTAAACAGTTCGGTGCACAGAATCCTTGTCATTTATCCCTTCCTCCTTTGTCTTCCTCTGTTCTCAGTGTCTGGTCCTTGCACCCACCAGAGAGCTGGCTCAGCAGGTCCAGCAGGTTGCCTACGACTACGGCAAGTCCTCCCGCATCAAGAGCACCTGCGTGTACGGTGGCGCACCCAAAGGCCCACAGATTCGAGACCTTGAGAGAGGTGGGTGTGCGGTGGGCTGATGTCGACTGTTTTGGATTTCGATTGTTTCTGACCTTCTGTTCGTATCTGACCGCAGGCGTTGAGATCTGCATCGCCACGCCAGGCCGCCTCATCGACTTCCTGGAGGCGGGGAAGACCAACCTGCGCCGCTGCACTTATTTAGTGCTGGACGAGGCCGACCGCATGTTGGACATGGGCTTCGAGCCGCAGATTCGCAAGATTGTTGAACAAATCAGAGTAAGGCGGTTCTGTAATTTTGCTGTTTTCAAAATGACCATTGATAAGTGAGGGTGTTTTGTTTGGTGCTTCTTTTTTTTTTTTTTTTTTTTCCCCCAATTCGTGTAAACCCGTCGCTCTCTCGTCTCTTTCAGCCTGACAGACAGACCCTGATGTGGAGTGCAACGTGGCCAAAGGAGGTTCGGCAGCTTGCAGAGGACTTCTTAAGGGAATACATCCAGATTAACATCGGCGCTCTGGAGCTCAGTGCCAACCATAACATTCTGCAGATCGTCGACGTCTGCATGGAGACCGAAAAGGACAACAAGTAAGACTTAAGCGTGCAATTTACGTCATTTGCTTTCGTATGGTCTGATCTTCTCTGAGATCTGAGTTGATTTGCTAATATTGTCTCTCTGCGTGCAGGCTTATCCAGCTGATGGAGGAGATAATGGCCGAGAAGGAGAACAAAACCATCATCTTTGTGGAGACCAAAAAGCGATGCGACGACCTCACCCGGAGGATGAGGCGCGACGGGTGAGGAGTGACTCTTTAAAAACGTGGCGGGCAGCTTTCAGCGTGTGAGTTCGACTTGCTGAATCGATGTGGTCTTGTTACCTAGATGGCCAGCCATGTGTATCCATGGAGACAAGAGCCAGCCAGAAAGAGACTGGGTTCTCACTGGTAAGAATACATCACAAACAGTGGAGGTCAGGGTGTCGGCACTGTCATATCATGCATACCTTAGGACTATGGAGAAAAATGATCTCTTGTGCCAACGCCGACAGATTTACAATGATGCCTACTGCTGACGTTGATTAATCTGCATTGTTTAAATAAATAAATGAAATGACAGTCTACATATAAAAACATTCTCTGAGGTTGAAGTCATTAAAAGTGTAGAATGTGAATTATTTTTGTTAGCATAGATTAAATGTGAAAATAGAATATGGACAAATATGTGTGGCATTTTTTTCTTTATCCCGTTCCCTAGAAGTGTTCTCCGTCAGTCCATCTGTCTCCGTGTTATCAATCAATCCCTCCACAATCCATTTTCCATTATTCATCAATTCACATAATGCACCTGTTTTACACTACTAATTAATGTCTTACCTAAAGAAAAAACGCCACATTCCCTCACACCTAGCATAATCAAACTTTCCTTCCTTTAAGATGTTTCCTCTCCTCCCTTTAATTGAATCTTCTCCTGCGTTTATTTATCAACTATTTGGCAACGTCTTTTTTTTTTTCCCCAGCTTACATGTTTTCCTTTCGACTCCACAGAATTCAGGAGCGGCAAGGCCCCCATCCTGATCGCGACAGACGTCGCCTCTCGGGGTCTGGGTATGTCTGGGATCACATTGTTTACCTCCTGTGATTTCTGTTCTCAGCATCATTTGTCTCGTTTAATTTGTTCTTCAGCTAATAATGAATGTACATGTGTTCAAGTCAACCTTAATCAACCAGTTAATGCTCTGAATTAAATTAAGCAGGTGGTAAGTATAACAAGTTAGTAAAAAAAAAAAAAGACTGTTGTACAGCAAGCAGGTTTGAGAATTATTATTTATATCCCACAAGCTTATTTACAGGTATTGTTTTCACAAAGTAAGCAGAAATCATGTATACTTCTTCAAATTAATTTGTTAGGTATAATGTCAGTAAATTGAGTTGTTTCTTTGTTTTTTGTTTTTTCCAAAAATTGTACAAGTGAAAGTCCAGCTGTTAGCCAGATATGTGAAAACCACAGAAGAAAAAACCCCAGAATGAGTCTAAAAAAAAAAAAAAAAAAAGACGTTACGACCTGGTGAAATGTCGGCCGAAGCTTGCAGAGCTGCAGGCTTCGAGCCTCTCAGCTCCAGCAGGTTCATAGTCTGTTTCTTGTTACCGCAGTTTAAAAGCTTCCTTCATGCGGGGCTCTTTGGCACGCTGCCTGAAAGGAGGGGTGTGTGGGCCCACAACGTCCTGCGCACCTTTTCTTATGTCTCCTAGTGTGGTGTCAGTATGAACTCCTTGGATTGCTGCTCATGTTTCACATTTTTCTGCTCAAAATCTTTCACTTCAGGAGAGAGCCGTATGTTTAGGAGGTAGCTTTGAAAAAAGAAAATGGAGGGGAAACAAAAAAAAAAAGGAACAGTTTAATGTCTGACATTTCTGTAGAATATTCTGAGAAGGGGGGATAAGTAAAGTTTTGTAAACTTTTACCAAATTCCGATGACTTTATCCTTGTTTTCTTCTCCCCTCTTCTCCTCTCAGGGTTTGGCAGCACACGGCAGCTGTAACAGTCTGTGCTGCTGTCTCTGTCCCCTCTCAGTCACATTATAAAAGGCAAGCTTTGTGAGCTTTAGTGGGATTAACGCCCCTATTACTCTCCTGAACTATAAAAAAAAAAAAAAAGAAAAAAGAGGGAGACCCCAACACCCCCCCCCCCTCCCCCCTTAATTTCAGTTTGCAAATCCAGCGAGCCTTCCTTGGGAGCATCCTGAGGGTCCTGTATGTCTGCCCGTCGGTCCAAAAAGCAGACAGACAGGCGAGAGAGAATTAGACGGGCTCGTCTGGATCCAGTCCTGGCCAGGGTGTGAGGAGGGTCCCGCAATGCGACGAGAGAGCAACAGAACCAGCCATTGGGTGTGCGTGGGTGTGTCCTTTGGGGTTTAACGGTTCTGCTCCCGTCTGACGTTGCTGGAGTGAGCAGAAGGTGAGGGAGGAATCCAGTCTCCCTCTCCCTCAGCCCTTCCCTTTGAACCAGGACTGATCAGGGGGAACCTTTGTAAAAACAACTTGCAGGGGGTAAGTACCGCAACACCCCTTTGTCTTAACTCCTTCACGAGCTCACCCTACAGCCAGGTTCTGCCTTTGTGCTTATATTACAAAAGAAAAGAGTTCATGGTTCAATAATCACAGCACACTATTGTTACTGTGTAATAACTGATTACATGGCTTCCCTCTCGTGACGGAGGGGGAGATGGGAGACTTATTGATCAGCAGTGCTGTCAGAGCCCCACGTCTTCTGTAATGAGAAACAGACTTCCTTACCTTCCACGTTCAGGCCGGTAATCACGAGTCCTCTGAAAAGCACAGAGGCCTAAAATGGTTTCCTTTACATGCCGGTTCTCACTTTAAATCAAGTGAGCGTGCAACATTGAAGGCATGTTGAATAGTAAAGCTGTGTCTCTGAAATTAATCTTTGGATGTGTGGATTGTTGCACGGTAAGTGAACTCCCAATTTGTTTCAATCTTTCTGCTTCACACCAAGACACGTTGTTGCATTCATAGATGACTTCAGTTGTTCATAGGCATAAAGCTCCCAGCTTTTTTATTTTTTATTTTTATTTTTTAGAATTTCATTAAATACATCACTTCCTGTTCTCTAAAAGCCCTTTACCCTTCTTGAATTTCCTTTGCTGTCTATCCCAAAGATGTGGAAGACGTAAAGTTCGTCATCAACTATGACTATCCCAGCTCCTCTGAGGATTATGTCCATCGTATTGGGCGCACGGCCCGCAGTACCAATAAAGGCACCGCCTACACCTTCTTCACCCCGGGAAACCTGCGACAGGCCAGAGACCTGGTCCGGGTCCTGGAGGAAGCCCGGCAGGCTATAAACCCAAAACTGCTCCAGCTCGTGGACTCCAGCCGCGGAGGTGGAGGCGGTAGGAGGAGCTATATTTTTATTTGCAGTGCCAACCAATGGTGTGCATATACATCAGTCTTTTTAATTGATTTGATTTCTCTTTAAATTATTTAGGAAAAATGCAGTAACAACTTTGTACTTCTGTTATGCATCTCACTGCACAATCTATTCCAGAAGCACGATCCGTACTGTTAACTTGTTTACGCAAGTGCTAAAAGAAATACTTCCAGGAGGATGTCGGGTTTTTTTTTTTTTAAACTTCTTTTTGCATCTAACTGTAATCGTAAAACGAGTAATATTTTAAAGACAATAATAAAACACAGACAAAAAGGGTTTAATTGTATTTTGTTGGACTGCTCTGCTATTTGATGTGAAAAACAAAATCAAGCATATGTACCTGCATACAACAATCAAACATGAGGAAAGATGGAGTAATACTTTTGGATTTTACATAAAACTATGGGATATAGTCTTTTACAGTCGAATCGAATAAACAATTACAAAAATAATGGTCTTCTACCAGAAGACATTGACAAATACGTTGCAGTCCAGTGAGTCCAATACACAAATTTCTACTGCATTATAACTTAATAATTATGACAATTATTTGTTAATGGGAAAATAACATTGTCTAGGGAAATAGATCCTTTCAGAAAGTTTTACTGTGAAAGTAGTAGTTTTAGCGCATGCGCAAATGAGCGAGCGCCGCGGTGCTGCTCACCGCTGTACATGGGTACCTACATGGGTACCATGTAGGTACCCATGTAGATACCTACATGGGTACCTACATGCGACCCATGTAGGTACTACGGGGACCACAGGTTCAAGTTGTGGCCCATTGACCTTTGCCGCATGTCTTCCTCTCACTCATATTCCATTTTCCTGTCAACACAAGGCCACTAGAGCCTAAATACATAAAATGCGCAAAAGAGCTGACGGTCCGAATAGTGCTTCCGGTGCAGATGATGGAGTGACGATGCTCTATGCTTTGAATAGCTATGTTTTCGGGCTAATAATCAGGAAAGCAAGAGCCCATTTTAAATGTTACTTTTCATTGTTTTTGGGTCGGGTTTTACATGCAGGTGGCAGGATGCGTTACCGTGGCGGCAACTCCAACAACCCTAATCTAATGTATCAAGACGAGTGTGATCGGCGCATGCGCTCCGGCGGAGGCGGCAAAGACAGCCGCGGGGGCTTCAACCGCGACAGTCGCAACAGCCGCGACGACGATCGCTCTTCGTCGTCCTCCTACAGAGACAGAAACCGAGATCACAGGAACAACTACAACGCCGGTTCGGATCAGTACCAGAGCTACAACAACAACAACGGCGGAGGCTACAACACCCGCGGCGGAGGCCCGACCGGCGGCGGTCAGGAGCAACCCAACCAGCCGCAGCAGGGCCAGTTCGGCCAGGGCCCTCCTCCACCCCCTCCGCCGACAGGCGCCCCGCAGCCGTTGATGGCACAGCAGTTTCCCCCGCCGCCACAGCCCCCACTTATGGGCTTCATGGGGCAGCCACCTTTCCCTCCTTTCCCCGCTGCCCCCCCTCCACCGCCAGGCCCACAACCACCCCGTAAATAGTTATAATTAACATGTACTGGGTAAATTTGTTCAAACGTTTGTAGCTCAGTTTTACTGTTGTGGTCTCCCAAACAGTGTTGTATCCAAGGAGGTAAGGGCTTGTGCTTTCACACGAATTTTAAAGCAAATGTGTTTCAAGAACCCCAAATAATTTAATTTCCCCAACCGAGTATTGAGGAGAAATCGAGATTTCTTTCTCTTTTGTTTTTTTTTTTTAATATTTTTTCCTTCACCAGCCAAAACTTTAGGAGTTAGAGATGCAGTCACATTCCACACATGCCTCCTTGATCTTTGTACTTGTTCAACTTGACTTATTCAGTTTGAAATAGGTGGCTTTTGCTTATAACTTCAATTACAGCTTCACCGCACATGATTCTGATCTTCACTAGTTTCGGTAATGACCACTTTTAGGTAACTTTTATTTTGCCTTTTTATTATCTATTGTGTTAGATTTAGGCACATTTAATCATGCATGCCTCCACATGTTCCCTTTGTGTAGCAAGTTAGAAGTGAAGTAGTGTTTTGAGCTTTAACTAAAAACATATTGTTGCCTGTTTTCTGTCAACTATGCTCTTTTTACAGTGTTTTCCTAAATAAACAAATTAAATCAATGCATTTTTGTCTTAATTTGCAACTTATTCTGACATATCAGGTAAATTACTGGATCTGCTTCACACATAATAGTGGAATATTCTTGGAATTGATTGTATGTATATTAATATTTTGATTTCCAGAAGTAGGTGATTTGTCTTTAGAAAGTTAGTTGTTCTAGTTTTATTCTTAAAAACAGTCCTTTTTGGTAACCAAAACTCAATTTAAGCAGGGTTTCTGTTCTGAAAAGTCTAGAATTTATTTATTTTTTGTTGGCCCTCTTCCAAACCTAGAACTCTAAAGTTGCAATGGGATCACAAAATGTATAACATCCACTGTAAAAGTCTCAACAAGTAGAGCATATCTGTTTCCTCTCCTAACCCCATAGAGGCAATCAGACACCATAAACTCGCACAATACTGAAAAACATTCAACAGCAGTAACTGCACTGAAACGTTTTGGCTGATAACTGATAGAATAGATGTGATATTTGTTAAAGTCCATGTTTTATTCTATTTTCAGTTGTGATTTATTCTTAATTTATACTTGATAAAGTCAAACTGTCCCTTACATCTCATTGTATTCCACATGAGTTATAACCCTGATAAAGATGCCTTATTTTCTCTTGACAGCCTTGTGTTTTGGATCATTATAGTTGAAGAGTGAAATTAGTTTTTTACCAGCATCCCTGTGAAACTGATTGTCTCATGGTTGCTATGGTGACTCAGCAACTGCAAGATGGCAGTTGCAATTTGATAATTAGACATTTCTAGAAATCTTGATCAATTTGAAAAAGTACAGATTATAAATTGCTTTGATTGCAAAAATAAAAAAAAAGCTCCAATACCTGAACTGCGAGCCCAAATTCCAGGAGTTAAAAAATGAGGTTTCATGGGTGCAGAGCAGGACAATAGAACAAACAGTGGAGGGTAAAGTTCAAACCATCTTACCCACCAATCATAATGGGAAAGGATCATATCCCCTATTCAAATGTCTCTGAGCCCAAATTTCTGACCATGCACAGGAGTAGCAAAAGCAAATGAGGTGGATCAGCAGTGCTTGCCAACAACAGTGTCATCGATCCAGGACATGTTACTGTAGAATATTGACTTTGATACTTGGAATTTGAGCTGTTGACACGTCATGACAGTCATGAGACTGTCGTACAGAAACAGACTTCAGTCAGAGGCTTCTTCAGATTTGTTGCTAGATTGTCTGCTACAGGAGATTCTTCCTCACCATCCACAGCGCTTTGAAGATACTTGTATGACATTAGTTATATTTAATTTTCTTTTTGGATTAATTGTGTTTTTGATTTGATTACATTTATGCTGAAGGGTTTTTTTATAGGAACAATTGTGGGAAAGCTTAAATTAAAGTTTGCATTTCTTTTTTCTTTCCATACAAAATTTATTTGAAGGCTTTTCACACAACTTTACCAATGGTGCTAACAAATACTTCCACATTTTTATCCTTATAATTTTTCCCAAGAACAGCCACCTTTCTCCAATCTCATCACTCTATCCTTTCTGAATACTCCAGAAAAAATACAGATGAGTTTATATATTTCCTCTCTTGCTGCACACAACATCTAGAAAGATCATTTAACACATAATGCATCTTATGCTTTACAAAGTCATTTTGGGTAAAGACAAACATGACTAAAAAAAAAAACCCACTTAAGTTATATGTGTACAAAACAAAAAGAACAAAAACAACCAGACAACCCAATCTGAGGCACATGTGGCAGAATCAAAATCAGTATGACGTGAACAGAGTTGAGAGTCTTTGGGTTAATCAGTAGTAGAAAAGCAAAGTGACAAGAGATGAATAAACAAGAATGATTTCATGTGCAAAATATGAACAAAGTAAGTGCATACGAGTTTAAATAAGGAAAAGGGAAAATAATCCTGAGTTAAACTGTAAAAACAAAACTGAGTCCTAAGAACAGAAAAAGTGCAGAAATAAAGAAGTTTGTAAAGGAATGGAGACTATGTGCCTTTCAATTACAACAAGAAGAAAAAAGTGAGGCAAAATTAACACTAAAGGATTAATTTTGGCTGGATCAGGCTCAGTAACAATAGTTAGCCGCGGTGAAAACTCTTCGTTTCCTGCAGAAAGACATCATCGTCGTCGTGTTCACCCTGCACGCTTTGGTAACGCCGTTTTACATCGGTTCCTCCTGCTCTGAATAGAGTTTAAAGATTAGACTGAAAATTAAACCACTGCAGTGGGTTTTTAAAATGCGTTTAGTTTCATTTTGTCTACACAAATCACAGTTTTAATTTGATTGTGTCTGATTAGTTTGGAGGAAACCCATTCAGTGGTTTGACCTGCAAACTGTTTAATGAGCAACTGACTGCGCAGGATGTCGTACAGGAACGAATCACGCTAACTTGTGGGTATGTCTGAAACAACAGCATGATTCATATGATGCGGGATTTGCTTAACGGTTTGTAAGCTTAAACCAATTCACATTCAGAAATTCAGCAAATCAACACACTGGGCTAATTATCTGAGACGGAGGATGCAGCAACTCCATTTAGAAACACTGACGGGAACAAATAAGGATGAGAAGGCACAAGGTCAACTGGCTTCAGCAACTGCTCTCACAGTCCATCAGTTTTTTTTTTTGTTTTTTTTTTGTACAGCAGAGTCTGAAACCGCTTCATTGTAATCTGGTCTTTATTTCCCCCCTCCGAAAGGAAAACGTCGACCCAAATATAAAGGATGGTGCAGGTCCGACGACAGGAGGCCCGGTCCTCTCCCTTTCTCTCTCTAAAGGTTGCCCCAGGTGTCTGGAGGTGGGAACTCGTCCACGTCGCCGGACTCGTCGTGAGATTTGTCCCCCAGGTTGAAAGTTAGTTTGTAGCGCAGACGCACTTTTTCCTGAAAGAAGAGCCGCAAACGACAGGTCACGGTCCGTTTTCAGGGTGAATGCCACCCTGCTGGACACAGATAAACACACATCAGATGTTCTCGGTAGTGAAGTGTGGAGAAAGCACCTTGTGAGGGTTGGCCAACAGCAGGATCTGTGTGACAGCGGCTGGAGGGAGGATGGGGTTGAAGGCTGGCAGTTCGGTACAGGAGGGAGGCTGCAGCTTTACTTTCATTACCTGGGAAACAGAAACCCACTGATTAGTCAAAGCCCATAGGTTGGAATAAATTTCCAATGTTTATAAATACAAGAATTAAGATCAACTTTCATTTGTTTTTCAGAAGGTCTTAAACTGAGCAGGCAGAGATGAAAACGAAACATTTATGTGACACTATTAGCAAGAATGAACCGATCAAGATTTCCCAGGTCGATACCGATTTCCGGGGTTCTTTATGTTTTTGACAAATTCAGATTTTTTTTTTCCCGCTAAAGATCTTCTAAGTTATAAGTTCTTTGAATCCAACAGAAACTGAAGAATTACAATATTATGCCAGTTTCTGCACCTCTGACAGAAATTTAAATATCGTTTTATAGATTTATGTATTTTTTTTTTCACCTTTGTTTTTTCTGCACTGTGTGTATTTTTTTTTTACTTGTGTATGGAAAGGTTCAAATGTAATTGAAAAAAAAAAATTAATAAATAAAACTTAACTTTTATCTGGTTTTTACTAAACTCCAAAAAGTGCATGCAGCCGATTGCTGCAAATTTAAACTGAAAATGGTGGTACTGATTAGTTGTGGTGCATTTAATAAATTAGGAAACAATACTGTATAAATATGTACACTTTTTCAGTATTTGAGCCTCTGATTGGAGCAAAACTGTCCAATTTCAGGCTGATTAACTGATGCAAAAAAAAAAAATAAATAAAAATAAAAATCACGGACATACTCTGGGAACGGCTGCCTGGAAACGGATGTTGGTGACGGGAATGGGCGCCGAGGACAGCATGGAGATGATCACCACC